TCAATCACTTTCTGCTTTATTTTTGAAATAGGGTCCTTCGTTCAACCCAAACCTCATGGATTTGGCTAAATTGGCTGGTCAGAAAACCACAGGGATCCTGCTGTTTACATCTTGCCAGCACTGTGGTTATAGGTCCAGGCAACCTTACTCAGCTTTTTATGTGAGTGCCAGGGGTTCAAACCCAGTACCTCATGCACAGTAAACACTTTACTAACCTATCCATCTCCTCAGCTCTAATATCTTGCTATTTTAAGATACCTCCCTACCTGATACTGATATTGTATTATTTCCATTTACATGAATTAAATGTAAATGTTTATTGCAAAGTCTTGGGCAACAACTAAAAAGAAGTTTTAAAAATATAATTGCTATGCTAAGAAAAGAGAGCAATGGAAAAGTATAAAATGCTCAATAGAACTTCAAAGCCCCCCCAAAGAAAAGAAGAAAAAGGAGTAGAAGACAAATACTAAGAGCCTTCAAGTATATCAATAATCATATCAAATGTCAATACTTAAATGCCCATTGAAAGACAGAGACCGCAACAACTTCAAAGCCACATATAGGTTAGTAAAGGGCTGGATATGATTATGCCATGCTTATACTCATCAGAAGTGGAAATAGCAAAGCTAATTTCAGACAGAGTAGATTCAGATGAAGAGCTTTTAGAGATCAGGTGGGGCAATATGCAATGAACAAAGGATGAATATTACATAAAGAAAACATAAAACGAGAAACTTCACAAGCGATGTCTGATGGAACTTCAAGGAGAAACAGAGGACTCTCCTACTGCAGTTGGAGACATAGTGAAGAACCAAGTCATAGGACCACTGTTCCTGACTCCATGACATCAGCATATAGTTCACTGAAACCATCTAGGAAGCAGCAGATCCTCAGCTGGAAAACAGCTTCAGTTTCCCTACACTGTGATCTAAGACTCTTCTAGTCTACTCTTCTTTCTTTATACCTCAGAGGAAAAGCTCCCCTATGCAGAGGCAAAGCCTCCACATCTGTTCACGTCAACCCCACAGAGCAGTGTTCTTGCTGTATCAGTGCTATTTGGCACACCTCTCACTCCTGGACTCACCTACCCACTAGCTCTGGCGGCCACACTTCTGCCTTGATTTCTCACCAAACAGCTAGCATGGTCTCTTGTATTTGGAAGGTACACATTGGCACCACTGTGAGGATTCTAAAGTATACACCATGGTCCCCACCATTAAGGTTTCCAATTCAGTCAGTCTGAGTGGGACCCAAGAATGTGCATTTCATATAAGTTACCAAGTGGAACAGATGGTGCTGGTACACAAAACACTCATAGGGACCCACTGGGAATGACCAAAGGCCACACAGTAGCAAAACGTAAGAGGATTTTCCATGTACTTTGATGTAACATCCTTTATTGTGTTGGTTTTCACATCTGTAGCCTTCATCATCTTGTTTTCCCTTCTATAAGTATCCTCCAACATTATGAAAGCTTTCACTGCTCCTAACACCTCTCTAATAATTTAAATACAGTTCAAGTCTCCAAGTCTCATTCTAAACATCACTTATATATGTTTCCCTGTGTAGCCTAATATTTCACCAACTTACACAGCGGCTTCTTCCTCTGAATTCCCATCTCTTACTCAAGTACATGGCAAGTGTTTTCAGAGCCTAGATATCTTATAATTGTGGGAGAGTAGTGACTCTTAAAGGTTACAAGATTACCAATACAGAAGCAGACACATGGCATTGGAAGGTGCTAAGGCAAGTGAATTTCTTTGAAACAGGAGCTTTGTTACTACCTCAGGTTACTGCATCTCACATTTGTCCCTTGGCAGGCAGGCACTTTCTGCCTAATTCTATCTTTTTCCAAGTCTGTCTCTTCATTTCTCCTCTCCTTTCTCCTCTTTCTGCCCCTCTCTTCCTCTAACTCCTTTCTCCTCTCCCTTCCTTCTTCTTCCCCTTCCTCCCCCTCTTTTATATCCTCTCAGTTCCTCTCTCTCCCTCTCTTAAATCCCCTTCAGTTTTAGCATCTTTATTCAAAATTGCCACAAGAAATAAGAATGAACCAAGAAAAAGCATGCCCTCTTTCAGTAGATGAAAGGTGGTGTATCTGGACAACAAATGTTACTCAGTAACAATGGGCTGTCAAGCTATGAAACAACATGGATAATTGTTCAATGCTTATTCTTAAGCAAAAGCCAAACTAGAAAGATCACATACTGCTTGATTCCAACTTCAGAACATTCTAAGAGAGATGAAACTATTAAAACAGTAAAAGATCAGCAGTTGTGTGGGAGGGATGGAAGAATAGTGAGGGTGCAGAGAACTCAGGGCAGGGAAGCCACCCTGTATGATGCTGCACACCTTGTTATACATTTGTCAAAACGCATGAAAGGCATTCTACAAAGAATGAACTGGAGGTAGGGGCATGAGGGATTGTTCAGTGGTCAGCAGCACTGATTGCAGTTGTAGAGGGCCCAGGTTCAGTTTCCGGGACCCACATGACTGTTAACAACTGCCTATAACTCCAGTTCCAGGGGATCTGACGCCTACTTCTGACTTCCCTGGGCAATCCAAGACACAGGTTCACCTACATACGTGCCGGCAAAACACTCATCAGATAAAAACTAAAAACTAATTTTAAAAAAAGAATGAATTCTGATGTAGATCATTATCGTTCCATGACAATCACATGTCACTGTAAAATCATTGGTTACCAAAAAAGTGGCACACTGGTATGGAAGGCTTCACAGTTAGTTCTATAAATATTTTGTGTTCTACATGCCTCTATTTTAGTATAAAAATAATCTCAAAATTTACCAAGTCATGAAATGAGAAATGAAGAGACATTTGCACACTCGTGTTCATTTAGTAACATTTATTACATCAAAAATGTGGAACTAGCCTGTGCCCATCTGTAGATGAATGGATATGCAAACGATGGTATATTACATATATACGTGCATATATTATATATAATAGATACTACTTAGCCTTGAATAAGAAGGAATAAAACAATGTGGCTGAACCTTCAAGATATTATGCTCAGCGAACTAAGCCAAGCACAAAGGGATGAATATAAAATTGCACTCCGATGACGAATTGTCTAAAGGATAAAGACTGGTTTTCAGGGTGAAAAAAAATTGTTTTCAACTAGACATAAGTGATGGTATTATACAATACATGGTGATTATACAATACAATGGTGATGGTATTATACAATAGTGTAGATTCACAAAATTCTACTGAACTAGCTTTAAAATGGTAAAAATATATGTTACTGATCTTAGAGACTGTAGTAAGAGAGTCAAGAGAGACACTAATGAACACATCTGAAAAAAGACAAGTTTCACACAAATAAAAGAATTTTATTGAAACATAATATTTTATTACAATAATAAATATACAATACATTCCTCTTAACAGTTAATTTACAGTGTAGAGGTTGATGTGCCCATGACTGAACCATTCTGACTTTTGGTACCACCTTCTTCAAAGCTGCATCTAAGAGAGAACATGTGTTGTTCAAGAGCAACGCAAATGTGTACAACATCTGCATCATCCCCAGTGCTTCTCTCTACACCATCAATGTAATTCATGGTCCCTGGTCCGTATCACCCTAGTCCTCCCCACTGCCCAGTTTCAGCATATTATATCATAAAAATAGCTAGTGTCATAAAAATTCAACATTTCAAATATAAAATTTAATACAAATATAATTCATCATATAATCATTCTTAAAATATAGCATTGCTATATGTGAGTTTGAAGCATTATTACTAAAATAAATATTCCCAGAGAAAATTTCATTTGCATCACAAAATTATAAAACAGAAGTATATAAAACTAATTCTGGACTAAATCTTTTGCAGGGGCTTCTCCCATTCCACTGTGGAGACAGTTTAAAGAAAACACAACCTGAGAGCACACTTCTGTCTCCACGCACATCTGGCAACATTAACGTCACCCACTGCCTGTTGTGTGTTCCTGTACCTGATGGTGCGGTCACAAGGTCTGTGCTGCACTAGTTTGTACTGACGAACATTTCTAGCCATCCTTTACTTCAGAGGTCTTAAGAGCTTGTTGCTTTTGGGGGCGGGGCCAAAAAGTCTGTCAATTCCCATATCCAGGGGTTATCCTGAACCCTATATGGTACCGAATATCCCTTTTCCTAGGTCAGGAATGTGTGCTGATTATCCAAATATTTAGATGCATGGTAGGGCTGCAAAATACTAACCCTGATTTCTAAGATTCTCTTTTCTGACTGATCACTAGATGTTGAGTGGAGCATTTTTTAATGGACTGCCTAGTATTCTCATAGTACTTTAATGTTTTCTTGAAATGAGACAGCCAGAATGCTTAGCAGACAATACGGCCATGTGTCTAAATATCTTGGAGGGAGGAAAGAAAAAGGGTTATAATAAACTCTATAACCCACTGTTTCCAGTTCTCATGACCTTATTGTATCTCTAAATACTGTGATTTCAGTTCTTCAATAATACAAATTAACCAGTTTATCTGAACAATAAGCTCAGTAACCAAACTGGTTAACATTAACAGCTGCCTTCCCAACTACTACTAGGGGCAAAAGTATTCAGGAAAATCTGACTTGCAGAAGACAAGGGACTGTTAAGTACCTGAAGGCCTTCCACACGATTTGACCATTACCAGAAAACCAGTTAGCTACCCAGACCCATATAAATATCCTTGACTTCTCTTCCAAACTATTCTCCTTTAAAAAGGGGGGGGGTATTTACCCTGTTTTAGAAGGCACAGGCAGTGGGTTTCTCCTTCAACTCCATGAGCAGACATCCCACATGATCACTTTGCAGTCGCTTGCACTGCTTTCTAGAACCTAATGCTTTTTCTTTCTTTTTTCCTTTTTCTTGTGTGTGTTTATATAGGAGGGTTTCTTTTATATGTGTGTGTGTGTGTGTGTGTGTGTGTGAGAGAGAGAGAGAGAGAGAGAGAGAGAGAGAGAGGGGGGAGAGAGGAGAGAGAGAATGTATGTTCGAGTGTATGTGGGTGTGTGAAAAGGATGTAGAGGCCAGAGGACATCTGCAGGTATTGTTCCTCAGATGCCTGGCCTGGACCGCTGGGGTGACTGGCCCCAGGGCCCCAGGAATGCACCTGTCTCTGTGTCCCCAGTACAGTACAGCCACGGGGCATTGCCCCTGGCTTTTTCCATTGTGCATGAGTTCTGGGGGTAAAACTCAGGGCCACTGAGCTGTCTCCCCAGCCTCCCCAGGTACTAGAGCCGGGTCTCTTGTACTTCTTCTTCTGTCTCCTCTTTCAGAGCAGCAATTTGTGGTCGAGTCTTCTTTCTGCTGGAGTGGTGGTTCTGGAAAAGCTTCATCTTTTCTGAGGAGTTAATGGCCTGCTGGAAGATGCTCTTCTCGCTCAGGAGTGCCTGGAGTGAGTCATACTGCCACACATGGTTCTCTTCTATGACCTGAGAAAAGAGTCACTAGTGAAACCTCAGGGTGCAAGTGAGGCCAGTGTAGACAGAGCGCAGGTAAGGCCTGTATAGGTAGAGCACAGGTGAGGCCTGTGTGGTGACAGAAAATGGCCGAGACCCAAAGAAGAATAAAAACCCAAAGAAATATAGGCTCCAGAGGCTTTTATATTTTAATTTTTCCAACTTCTTGCTTTCGCATCTGTGAAATTAGTTGTGATTTTCCTATGTAATCATTGGAATTTTTAAATTAACAATACTAGGTGATACACTCCTTCAGAGAACTTTAGAAGAACTAAGAGTGCTTTGTAAATCAGAAAAAATCATAATCCATCTCTTACATGCCTTTAAGATGAGCTACATCTAGAGCACCATAAAGCTTTGAACTTCTTCAATTCTAGATCTGAAGCCTAGCAATTCCAAATCTGCCAGGTGTGCCTAAGTTTCATATGCCTGCAATGCATGTAAAGGTTTTCAAGCCTGGGGCCAAAGGATAAAGGGCCAGTACCCAACCCCCGGATTTGACCATAGTGGGACCAAAGATGAGTCTGCTCCTTGGTCACTTGGAGCTTAATGATGACAATGGGAGTTTAAACACACACACACACACACACACACACACACACACACACACACTCCAGTAAGAAAAGCATTCACCTCCAGAAAATTCAAAAGCCTTAGCGGAACTGGTATGTTACCTGATCTTCGGAACTTCCTTGTGACTAAACCAGAGGGAATTTGTAAACACCACTTGAAGGAATTGTGACAGTTGAGAAAGTAAATGAGAAGATGGCTGGCAAGGGCACTGACCTGAGCTGGGGGAGTGATGAGGACAATGACACAGGCAACTACTACAGTCAGGCCTGCGCTGGAACAGCTTGCAAGAGACCCAGTTATTCAAATAGACAGAACAATTTGTCTTTTTCAGTAGTACTTTTCTTCATGACTTGTTCCCTCAAAGAAAGGCCTTAAGAACATATCTGCTTATCAAAAGCACTTAGTAATCTGCTATCACTTCAGGTGTGCTGCATTTCAGCCTCACTTCTCAGCTCAAGTCAAAGTAGGAACCTCCTGCAGCTCCACTCAGCAGAGGCAGTGGATTTGTGGCATGCATATGAAATAAGAACAAGGGGTACACACTATCATTTACAGTAACTGTCATGCAGGGTTGCTAAATTACAAGGGAAATGAGGTACTGACTCACCAAAAATCGTTGACAATCTAACATTGCTTCTACCCTGTGTTCACAAAGGATTACTGTGCAATCGGTGAAGGCTTGTTTTAGAACTCTTCGAATTACTTGGTATGTTCTAGAAAAGAAAGATAATGCTACATAAAACATTACAGGACATAGATAATCTGTCTTTATCTTTGACAATATGCCTAATATTCTATAGATATAGTTCTTTATTTTGAAAATACTTTTAGCATAATGTTGATACAGAGTTAGCTACAACCAATTTTCTAACCATGGAGTAGACGCTAAGTATTTATTAATAAATAAGGCAAATATTTTGAAGAAAGTTTCATGAATATGTACATTTTTCATCATGTAAAATCACCATCAGTTCTTTATTTTGTGCTATATATATATTTTATGATATAAATGGGATATAAAGGAAAATCCCAAGAATCAGAGTGTGCCCATATAGTAAGTATTCCATCATGTGTTGACAAGGTAGAAGGGTTTTATGAAATTCCAAACTACATTTCAAAGAAATGCTTGCTCTTATGCAAGCAAATAAGATTCTTGTTCATGTCAAATAGTGACTTCCCTAGGCAATTATTTTGTACCCCCACTTGCAGACATGACATCTGAATGGGAATTTACATCCATATGAAGTAACTCTCAATGATTCTACTCTTATTGCGTATAACATAACAGGGCTTCTGAGACTCACATGGGGTCCAAGTGGGCGCTGGGTTCATCAAGCAGTAAGATCTTGGCCTTATTGAGGACGGATCGGGCCAAGCACATTAACTGCTTGTGGCCATGGCTCAACACATAACCCCCATCCTCAAGGTTAAAGTCAAGCTGCCCAGGAAACTGTTCTATCACGGATTTGAGTCCAACCTGAAGAAAAGAAAGAGGAAACACTGCATTTAAAAAGGCTACTTGAGAAACCACAGGACTCAAATCACTCAATAGGTTGACATTCTAAAAACATAAAAGAGTTTGCAAAGCTTACATTTCACATCGCCCTCAACTGCCAACTCCCACTTAAGTTTGACTGAACAAAATTCTCTTTATAATATTGGAAGCTCTAGAACATCAGACGATTTCTTTCAACCCCATACTTCATTCATTCAGGAAACTTTCAGTGTGCACCTATTAAGTGCCAGGTTCCCCCAAAGGTAGCAAGGGCACAATGATACCTGACTCTCACAGCCTCGGGATTTACAAAGATATAAATATGTAATATGTAATTACAATGAAATTGAATACATCCTGTAAAAGATAATATATATGGAAAGCAGTTATTCACTCTATCATGACATCTATGTAGATGCAGGGGATATAAGAGTGGAAAGGGTAGAAAACATGCTATGGCATGAGGTGAATCTCTGTGAGTTCAAGGCCAGCCTGGTCCACAAAGCAAGTTCCAGGCCAGCTGGGGCTACCAGGAGACCCTGTCTCAAAAAGATCAAAAGTAAACAAAATAAATTGGTACATGATTAAGATTTAAAGGCTCTTTGATAATGGGTTAAAACATGAGGATTCCTTTAGCATTAATGCCTTATATTTTTAAGCTTCAAAGCCTTAAAAAAGGTTTATAAAGCAAATAAGATGTAGAAAACCACCCTAGAAAATAAGGCATAATTACAGATGTCCTGGCGGTTGTCACTTACTCAAATAAATATACATTAAATGTTTCTTTTTTGCTAATAATTGCTGAATATATAAGGGCTAAAGAAACAGATATGATTTTCTCTTACCCTTAAGGACTCTGGAATTTAGTATATGGAGGTAAACTCTCCATTGAACTCTAATAGGCAGATTTGGACAATGGCCTCAAGAAAGAACCTCATGAGCTGAGAGATAAACTCAAAAGTGGCTCACAACACAGTCTATTCTGCAAAACTATTTGCTTATTATGGATATTTCAGAGCAAGTAGTTTCTCCTTATAACAATCTCATTTTGTGTGGATTTACTAAGATTTCAATATGGTTCTGAGATGCAGGGAATGCAGGTACATCAGAAAAGGGGGCTGTTGCATCCCAAGACTCCACAAAAACTCCTGTCACTCCCATATGAGTCTTCATCTCAACTTCCCCACCTCCTGAGATTTTGGCCATTTTCAGGGTACCAATATCTACTTTTAACTAATTATTTTAAAGTTTTTTTTATTATTTTTATTTTGTGTGTATGAGTATACTTCCTATATGTATGTAAATGCACTAAGTGGGCACAATGCCTGCAGAGGCCAGAAGAGGGTGTCAGATCCCCTGGAACTGGAGTTACCAACAGTTCTTAGCCACCATGTAGGTGCTGGGAACAGAATCCAGGGCCTCTGTAAGCAGTCAGTGCTCTTAACTACTGGGCCATCTCTCCAGCACTAAACTAATATTTTTAAATGTCTATCTCCAGCCTTGAATTTCTCCTGAAATTACTACTGAAATCTTTCTCTTTGTAAACTGTAATACAGTGACCTTCATCTGGGCTTCTGTCATCTCTTAAGGGTCATACTGCAAGTGTTAATGAGTCCAATAGCCAAACCATCACAGAACTAGTTCAGGGATCTTCCTAAACTGCATATGACCATATCAATTCTTTCTTAAATCCTATGATAGTTCTCTTTCTGGTAGAATAAAATATAAGTGCTTGCCAATGGCCCTCGAGACATTCTAAACCAAGCCCCCCCCCAACACTGTTGTTCCCAGCAACATCAGACAGTTTTTAGTTCCTCAGGTTTATCCTACTGCCCAGCCTGAGTAGTCTTCTAAATATCCCTGATCATCCCTAAGGCAGCAAGGCACCCAGTAGAATTGCATATGTGTCCCCTGTTAGACTGTAAGCTTCTTGAAGGTAAATATATATTTTTCAGCTAGGAGCACTGTCAGCCTCAACACATTAATTACTTAATCCATTCATTCATCAAATATGAACTGAGCTCCTTCAATGCTGGTAGCCAAACAAAACAGTATTGATATATTAAAACTTAAGGATGACTGAGTTAGTGCTGGTTTTAGCTCTAACATTATATAGGATGATCTGTGAATCTTCAAGACTCTATAAAACCCCCCCAAATAAAATTACAAAGTTAAACATTCCTAAACATGGTTAGAAAAATCAATAGTTAATACCAAACCAACACTGGGCCCTGTCTTGAAGGAACTCATGTAATAGAAGAGAATAAAAAGAATAAGTGAGGAATTGCTGTTCAAGAGCTAAGCACCATGGGCAAAGGACAAGAAAATCTTGAAACAAAAAAGCTATTAGGAGTACTAATTTGGCACTCTTGAGCAGCAAAATCATAAGTAGCAAACATACATATGAATCTATTGCCAGTATAATTTTATCAATAATGTCCTTGAAGGCTACCTTTTCTTTCTCTTTTTCCTTAGTGTTTTGTTTTGTTTTGTATGTTGTTTTGTTTTTGTTTTGAGACAAGGTCTTATGTAGCCCAGCTGGCCTCACATTCCAATTCACTACATAACTGAGCATGACCTGGAACTCCCTGATCATCCTACCTCTGCTGTCCAGGTACGACAATTACAGGTGTGTACTATCACACTTTGATAATCATCAGTTCTCTGTAAACAAAGATTAATTCAAAATTATTGAAATCTTAGAATTTTCTAATTATTTTCATTCCCAAACTAGCATTAAAAATAAGTAGAGAATCATTCAGGCACAGTGGCACATGGCTGTAAATCCCACCACTTGGGAAGCTAAGGTAGGAGAATCACTGTGAATTCAAGGCCAGCCTGGGCTGGATAGTAAACTTTAGGCTTGCCTGGACTACAGAGTATGATCCTGATTTTTAAAAAACCTAGATAAAATAAGTAAATAATCAATATTTTGTGGACAGAAGAAACTTAAGAACAACAAAAAAAATCTAACTTTATATGACTGAGTCAAACACATGCAATTTTCAAACTACCATTAAATAGAAATTTTGTTTTGTGACACCAAAGTGTGGAAAGCAAACAGTCTGTAAAGGACTGAGGATCCCTCAACAACTTCTTACCACTGTACTCTGGAATGTCATTATGGAGCAAGAGTTTGCTCTTACAACAAAGTTGTGAAAAACAATAAAGCTGAAGTGTGTTTTAAGTGTCAGTCCACTAGTGGTCAGTTTAAAAATAGGTACTTTCAACTTCTTTTGCTTCTACTCTGCAAGCTTCCCAAGACAAACTTTCAACTTAAATATCCACTGATTCTGCTATTTATCTTCTTTCCACAACCACTCACTTGACTCTTAATGTATAAAGATGGAAACTTTCAAAAGTAATCTAACAAGCAAATAATTACACAAAAAGTCACTCTGAAAAGCAAGAGTCAATGTGCTAAGATAATACAAACAGCTCACTGGGATGAAACAGTCTGGGACCAAAAGTCAGGGCTACAATTCTGTTTTGCTCTCACTAGCCATCCTAAGAAGAGGCTAGGCATCTCAAAGTTCTTGTTACTGAAATGAGGATGATAATACCTGTTGTGCATCAGCCAGAAAGCTGTTTTCATGATACATTTCAGGAGATAAAGGATTCCTTCATTTACTCATTCAACCAATACTTATCAAACATCATCCATGTGTCTAACTACTGCAGGCGTTACTAATAGAGAACAGACCCTGATCCCTAATCCTTAACTTCCAGTCCCATGGACAAGTTACTAAGTAAATTTTGATCCAGTGTAGAGAATGCTGAGGGGCTGAGAACATGGGATACACAGAAGAAAGCCTCCTTTCCTAGAGCTAGAGTGTCAAGGTCGGTTTCAGGAAGAAATGATGTGGAAAGAAAAGCCTGAATGATGAGAAGGAACAGGTAATGATGGACTGGGAGCTTCCCTGGTACAGACAGCAGCAAGTCAAAGACAAAACCCAGAACACAGTGTGCTTTGTGTTCAAAAAACAAAGTAAAACCAAACAGTGAAATACAAGGTAGCTCAGTCATGGGACCCAGCAGAGGTTGTGGATGAGGGTGGGGAGGAAAAGATCAAATCACAAGCATCCTTGGTGAGCCATTTTAAGGGTGTGCAGCAGGCACACTGTCCAGCAGGCAATAAGGAGGCCCAGGAAGGGAAGTGGTCAGTGATCACACAGTGGCTTTGAAAGGTCTCCAGAGTTGCAAAGAAGAGTAAGCTGCCCTATAGCCAGACAAGGAAACCTACACTTTTTGTCCCAGTGTCTTGTTCAGTTGGCACACCCCAACATGTCCTGTTTTGCATATACTACATGATCTATCATATAGGATTAAGCCTAGGGTTTGTACCTTCTAACCCATATCTCTGTTCTGCTGCTTTAGGCTACGGCTTGATACTTGAGCTACCTAATGCATCTTCCAAAAAAAGTCGTCACTGCTACCAAACTACATGGCATTAAGGTTAGGACAATAGCAGCACTATTATTTCTGGACAGAAATTTTTTTCAAAAAGGACAAATAAAAAGATACATCTAAATATGACTACTCAAAAAAAATCTAACCATGTGATTATCTGTACTGTATTGGTATTTAAAGTCTTAACAGTGTCTTCTAAAATTGTAGATTATTTTATGATCCCGATTTCCTATAAATTTTATTATGACTTGGCAATACCTGTAGATTTTACAAAGTTTAATGTTTTCTTTCCCAAGTTCTCTCCCACCACATTGTGTTCTTATAGTTCACTCTCTGAAGTCACATCAAAGAGCTTACACAGTGTCCCTCACAATCTAGTTAATGTTTTCTCTAAAAACCCTGCAACTGCTCGGTAATAAGGAAACTGTTATAATGAAAACGGTTATTCTCCGTGCATTTTATTAGGGGCATGTTAAGGTTGGGCACTCAAAGAGTCAGCATTTAGCACTCACAGGCTTCAAAGCTCCTGTCAAGTTTTACTCTGGATAGAAGCAGAAATGGGAAGATCATTTGGGATAAACAGATACTGAGCTACAATCAAAGTGCAGGAAATGGTGGAATGCCACTATGCAAAATCTAAAGCCTAAAGTCCCAGGAATATAATGGAGAGGAGACTTTAGGCATTCCAGTTTTAAATAGACGCTGGCAAGAGTTAAGATTTTGGGGGGTTATTGACATGAAAGACATGCATTTTTATGTGAAAACGACATCACTTCTGGGGGTGAAGGAGAGAAATGCTAAGTGTAAATGTGTATATACTTTAGAAACTCACATGTTATAATCTTAACCCACAAGTTGTGCTATTAAGAGATAAGACATTTGGTGTGTGATTATCCATCAGGAATGGAGTTGCTGCTATTCTAAAAGAGCTCCCAAAGAGCTCATTCACCACTTTCACTGAGTGAGACAGCAAGAAGTCACCCTCTCTGAACTGAACCAGGAAGAAAGCCCTTAAGACAACAGTATCTACTGGTTCCTTGACCTTAAACTTCCCAGCCTCCAAAATGATGAGAAATAAATGGATCTTGTTTATAAGCAACTAATTCTATGACACTTTATTAAATAAGCCTGGGTGGCCTAAAGTAGGGCCTGAATCCACTGAGGAGAAGGATGGGTCTAATACAAAATACAGATGTTCCAGGTACATTTCAGCATTCCACTTACATGGTACATGGGCCCATGTGCCTTTGAGACACACACACACACACACACAAACACACACGCACAGTGAAATGTGTAAATTTGTACGCATGGGCCCATGTGCCTTTGAGACACACACACACACACAAACACACACGCACAGTGAAATGTGTAAATTTGTACATTGACAATCACTATAGTGTGTTAATTGTCTCCACAATTATGTCACTTAGCATCCTTACCTCCTCTGCAACTTTCCATATTTCTCCATCACTCCATTCTCCATCAGGATCCAAGTTTTGTCTAAATGTTCCAGAAAAGATAAATACTTTCTATAATGACAAGGAAAAGAAGAAAATATGAATAACCTAAAAGCTATTTTTCCATTTTATTCTGAGACATTTTAAGTAAGAAAAATATTTCGAAGCAATCCAACAAGCACCCATGTGCTCACCATCCAGTTTCCTTAGGCTGCGTACTTCACTGCATTTGCTTTGTATCATTTTTAAAGAAAAAAAAGAGTACAGCAACATTTGAAGTTCCTTCTGCATTTTTTTTCAGTTCCGATGTTGTTAAGAGAAGGACACTGAGAACACTGTAAGCTGCGGGAAATTATGTTTTTTATTCTAGTAATATTCCTTAATATAAACAAATATGTACACTTAGAAAGTTTAAAAAGCAATATAATTATGAGTTATAATTAACTTGCCAGAGAAAATTCCTATTCTGTTGATGTATTTTCGTTGGATTTCATGGATAAACTACTTACCTAAGGGATTGTGAAACTGCTTTAACATGCAGACACTTGTTCAAACACATATGTTCATCTGGTTTATAAACTCACACACATTTCTACTTACAAAGCCAGACAGAAGGGAGGACAGACACCTTAGAAACTGGTGAAAGATCCCAAATCAAACATTTATTTAACGGGACGTAAGCTACAGAAAGGAGACAGATGGTCTGGGTGAATCAGCATTGCATAGTCATCACGGACACTGCACTTGGCCTACCACTGTCTACCTGGGCCAGTCTATATGCCTAGACATGTCTTCAGAGAAAATCACTGTCTTGGTAGGAAATCTCAAGCAATAAATAACATTTAAAAAAATAGCGTTTTCTGTGCTTATGGAAAAACTGGGAAATAATTTTGCTGTTAATGTCTAAAATACTGTTTTCTCCTTTTGATTGGCTTTCTATGTTTCCAAAGAGATTTATATATTCAGTGGAAGCACACAGTAAAAATGTATAGTTTAGTCAAATAGAATAATGCTATTATCCTGGAGGACTATAGTTAGTGCTAGGATGTTATACCTTCAAAGAAGATCGTTATTAGAGGCAATACAACTTGCAAAGATACCTTTGCAACATGGTTGTAGCTGGGTGTGTCTACAGAGAGGAGCCCAGTCAATTTCATTGCCATGTTTGTAAAACAGGGAAATGCCACCTTACTTCTGTTCTCTGGTTTTCCCTCTCAGTACACGGCATTTTCATTTCTCCATCTAGGAACTGAGAGTCATCAGTGATCTACCTCACTCCTCCACCTTCCTAAATGAAGTGAATCTTTGGTCACGAATTATTTTCCCCCAAACTGTATGTCAAATCTATTTACTTCTCAATTTCTGCTCCCACTACATAGTCCAGTCTTTCTCTGACTCACTGCAAGAGCTTCCTATTGGTTTGTTCCTTTACACTCTTGCTTCTCTTTCAGTCCATGCAAGCACGTCACTACAAGTGGAAATAAGTCATTCCATTAACATTTCAGAAAATCCTCAATGACTTTCCACTTCACTTAGGGCACAATGTCCTTCAGAAAGCTGTAACACCTTAGGATCTAACTGCTGCTCCCTCCTCTGGCTCACTTAGTGCTCTCCACTCCACTCTTTCTCACTCTAGCCACAAAGACTTCTTAGCTTCTTCACATATTTATTCTTCCTGTCTGGGAATTTCATCCTCTGTGCTCTTCCCCTAGCAAATTATCCTTCAGGTGTCAAATTAAATTTCATTTCCTATGGGGAATCATTCTTTATCCTCAAAACCAAACAAAGTCTCCCAAAACAGTCTCCTAATTCCTACACTTTCATTCCTCAAAAAATATTGTGATTGGGACTGGCGAGATATCTCAGTAGTTAAGAGTGGTTAAGAGTGGTTATTGCTCTTTCAGAGGACTTTAGTTCAATTCCCAGAAACCATATTGGTGGGTCACAACTGCCTATGACTCCAGCTCCTGGGGAATCCAATGTCTCTGGTCTCTGCAAACACCTGCATTCTCATGCATGCATACATACAAACATAGACACACCACACAAATACGTATAATTAAAAATAAAAATAAAATATTTAGTTTAAAAACTACTCTGATTAGGTGCTAGGGATGTACTTCAGTTAAGAGAGTGCTTGCCTAACTTTGAATCAGAAGCCTTGGGCTTGATGGATAGCACCACATAAATTGAACATGGCACCATATGTCTATAATCCCAACTCTCAGGATGTGAAAACAGAAAGGTAAGAAGGTGAAGGTTATGCTTTACTATGCAATAGGGAGTTTGAGGTCTATCTAGGCCATCTGAGACCCTGTCCCAAAAACAAAACGAACAAACAAAACCAGAAAGCTAATCCCATTCCAAGAAACCTGGGTATCTTGTGACTCAAAACCACTTATAAAGGAAAGGGAGTGGGCCCTTACTTTGGCACACCTCTGAAAGAATTATAGATCACAGACACTCTAATGAGGTGTGATTTCTCCAGTACCTAGCTCAAAGGTGTTATGTAATATGGGTAGGGTTTTTCATTTATTAATAGAAGGCATGAAGTTGTGGGTTGGGGGTGAGAGTCGCCAGGGAAGGAAGTCTGAATATAATCAAACTTCATTGTATGAAATACTTGAATCAATAAAATTTCTCTTAAACTCAAAAAACCAAGATAATACTCATGCCTGTGAAATTTTTGTTTCTAATGCTCACAGCTCCTTGAGCATAACACTACTTTGTATTCTATTGTAGACACAAGCTTTGTACAAGCTCAACAAATGTTATCAGAATGAATGAGTGGGCTGAGGTTAAGAACTGAAAATGCAAAATAATCAGAGTGGATGTTCATTTTCTTCCATTTTGAAGGTTAGCTTCTACAGCTGTTTTGTTTTGCCTCATAAAGGGATGTGTAGGGGGTATGGTTCTATAAAAAAATGAGCTAAAGGCTTACAATATTGGTCTTTTATGGTATTAACGTTTTTGTGAATTTCATATCCATGAATACAGCATTTACATAATTTTCACCCCTCCTTCCCCCCATCCAGCTCCACCTATCTTCTCCCCCAACTCCCTCTCAATATTTTAATTATTGTTTAATTAATTATTTTAATTATTGCTACATATATCATATGTGTGTATACCTACAGAGTCCCTTTCCTGATGCTAGTTTGTACATGTGCTTAGGGTTAGCTGATCCCTGGAGAAAACTGATTCTTTTTCAATCTTCTAGAAAATTATACTAACAATCCACTAAATCTTTGATGATTCTTTAGTTGCTTAAGAAATAGTGTGCCAAACTTTTTTCATAATAGTTAATAACATATAGCTTATTATATTTGACATTCTAATTTATTTTAAATGGATGTATAGTCATAATTATGAAGGAAGGAAGCTGCTTGAATTAGATATCCCAAAGTTTTACATTTGTGGATTTATCATCAATCAGAAATTTTGCAGGTCTTTTGTTCATCATTTATTGTCTAAAAAAAGGTAATGAACTATATATTCCAATTTTAAAGAAAAATTAACTAAACAAACTGGTTCAGTTAGAATTCAATCATATACAATCAATCAGACATTCCACTCCTGTAACACAAAGAGGATCTGGCACATGCTTACTTGCAGCGTGCCAGTAGATGTTTTACTTCTGTTTTCTAAACTGTTTGAAAGTCTCACAAACCCATCTGTTTAGCTGAAAGGTCTTTGGGGGTCAACGCAAGTCCTTTCTCTTCAATTTACAAAAAACAGTCAGGGTCTGTGAGGAGCTGCATGCTTCAGCCAACATGGCACGGTCAGATCTGTTTTGTACCAAAGAAATGCACCTGAAACTCTCAACACAGCGATCCTCTATTACTCTTTTAAGAAAGTGCTCACTAATAAGAAAGTTAGGGTAAGCAAATATTTGATGTTTATTTAATGTCATGTATGACATAAAGAGCAATTCTTGAGACTCTAGGCAGAATAAAGAGATCACCATTGTTCACCATATGACTAATCTCTTCCCTGAAGCTGACTCCTTCACTCCTCAACTCTGTGACAGCAGCTGTGCCTACACAGACTTCCCTGAGCCGGTCACAGGCACTATCCTTTAGTACAGGATATCAAAGGAAAACACAAAAGCAATTTGGCTTTTCTGCTCGCTGAGTTTAATATAATTAAATAAGCGGAGGAAATGATGATTCTTGAACACATAGTGCTGATTAATTTTGTCTCAGAAGGGAAAATATATATGACTATATACTTATACAGGTGTGTATACATGTAGATTATGAATAGTTCCCTCAAATTGTGGCCCAAATGCTTGTAAATATAGTTATTGAAACTCTTCTGGTAATTTATGCAGCATTTTCTGATAAACTAGATCTGTGTAATAAAAATCTACCCGGAATGAACTGTCACAATTCTCAGGTTGCATCAGCAAATGTTTAAAATTAATCAAACATCTCTCAACTAGGAAATCATGAATAAAATATTTCTGGTCAAAACTATTAACACTTTACAACAAATATAGACTAATTACTGTGTCTGTGATTTGTTTAAATATAAATATTGAATGCAAGATAGTTAAAGTAGTTTCCTGTAAGTTGCACTGTGCTTCAGAATGGTTTTATACTACAAATTTTTAATCATACACTTTTCAGAGATAGTATTCAAAATTCAAATTGTTTTTCCATGCTGGGTCTGATGGTGTGTGCCTTTGATCCTAGCACACAGAACGTAGAGGCAGACAGATCTCTGTGAGATCCAGGCCAACCTGGTCTAAATAGCAAGTTCCAGGCCAGCTGGGACTACAGGGAGACCTTGTCTCAAAAAGACCAAAGAAAATGTTTTCTGAATAAAAGCAAATCATCAAGAATTTCAAATATTAGGCTCAGGAATAGTCAAATTGTGTTGAATGTATAACCAGGCAAGTAATTTTTCTGTTTTCCACCGAATTCAGCACTTTATCCAACTCTCCTCCTCAGTTAAGTTCCAGCTCGTCCCATCATAGATAGTTTGGGGGTCCATCATCTGTAGACTGACATTTCACTGCGCCTTCACCGGGCCTTCATCACCCCAAGAGAGTTAGCTCCTTCCAACCGGACTAGGCCAGGACTTCTAATACTCTACAACCTGTGACTTCCTCTGACCCTTTGCCCCCAACTAATATTTTCTAATACCTGTCTTTTGTTTGTCCATAGTCTCCCTGCCTGTGATCCCATGTACTCAAACTTTCTAAACCCATAAATGATGCTTTATGGCAAGATGGGAAGGAGGAGTCTAAGTACTTTTCATTCACTCTCACCATAGCATAATTAATTGTTATCAGTACTATATCTATTTTACTGATAAGGAAACTAAGGCAAGGAGAAATAAATTACTTAAGATTACACAAATTAGAATCCAAATGCTCACAGAACTATTGTGTTGGATAGCTTTAGTTGTCAATTTGACACACCTGGGAAGAGGGAACCTCGATTGGGGAATTTCTTCTATTGGATTGGCCTTGTGGGCATGTCTGTGAGTCTTTTTTCTTTTTTCTTTTTTTGATTGTTGAGTGACATGGGAGGGTCTAGCTCACTGTGGCTGGTGCCACCTTTGAGCAGGTGGTCCTGGATTGTATCAGAAAACAGGCTGAGCAAAGACCAGAGGAGGAAGCTAATAAGGAGCATTCCTCAGTGATCAGTGCTTAAGTTCCTGCCCTGAGTGCCTGCTTGCCCTGGCTCCCCTCATAACGAACTCTGAAAGAAACCCTCACCTCCCCAGGTTGGTTTTGGTCATGGTGTTTATCACAGCAATAGAAGTAACTAGAACAACCATAATCCCTTGTAAGCAAGAGAGCAACATTAGCGGTTCAACACAAAACAATGTATATTGAATTCTTCTCCTTCAGGCTACTGTGTTACATGCCTTATAATATAAAGACAAATTTAAAAGAAAAAAATTATTTAGCATTTCTATTATATTTTTGTTATTCTTCTTCCAGTTTTGATCATTTTATGTATAAATCTTGAACTTTTAGCTAGAATATCTGCAGTTTTTACAGTGTTAAGTGTAAATTAAGCAAATATACAGATAATTTGCTAATAAATCAGATCATAAGCACTAGGATCAACTCATAAGCTTTCAGATCCTATCTGTTTCTGGACTGAGAAAGCAGAGGATCTGTGTTGGAACAAAATCCTTTGCAATTCAGAAAATTTGATTGTTGCTTTAAGCAGTTTCATTTGCGTGAACATGTAATGCAAGGAAAGAGATGAAAAGAAAAGCAGAGCAGGCGGGCAAAGCACACTGGTGCTCAGGACGCAGCGACAGCAGTCCTGAGGGCTCGACTTCCAGCACTGTCCAGAACTCCCTCACTAGGCTGGGTGTCCAACACTCCCTCACTCACCTAAACCTTGACCAATGACTGTGTTTAATTACCATATTTTAGCTTCTTATTTTGGTCATATTCTTTCTTCATCTCTGTCCAATGACAATGAGTATCATTTGGGGCTTATCATTAGAAGCCTGGAGCCTCGCTGTGACATTAATGATAAGTGCTGACTTCAATGGTTATATAACTAAAAAGTCAGTGATACTATAATTTTAAGACTGTAAGAGTTTAAAACTTTTATATGGTTAGTTAGCAAACTGAATGCTAAGAGTTGCATCACTAGTTTCATTGTTCATATCTGTAGCTACACGTTTTTGCCCTATCTGGTATCTTCCAGAACAAAAGAAGTCCCAATTCTGTTGGTGATGGGTGAATATGGAGTATTTCCATATCATAAAGAAAAAGAGCCAATGAGATCGCTCAGCTGATAAAAGTACTTGCCACACAAAGTTGGTGACCTGAGTTTAACCCCTAAATCCCATGGAAAAATGAAAAAAAACTGACACCTGAAATTAGTTCTCTGGCCTCCACAAGCACATCATGGCATGGATACACACATAAAATAATAGTAAATAAACATAATTTTTTTTCAAAAAGGCCTAGTTATTTACTCAAAAGTGCTTGTAACCTTTCAGATTTGTAACTGATGCTTTAAAGGGGGGGGGAAGGGTCCAAAGTTAAAGAACATTTTAATATCTTGGTACTCCAATTGTCTAAGTCAATGGGACTATGAATGTAAGCCTCTGTCTCTCTTACTGACCTTAAGACTCACAACATAGAACAGATGAAAGCAGACTCTCCCTTGGAATGTACACAATAGCCTGTCTTCTAGGATGGCACATTAATTGCTCTCTAGCTACAGGAATCATAAAAGAAAAAAACTGCCAGTACTTGCCAAGACTAATGGCATCTGTGGTTCCACAACTAACGTTTCAAGATCACTGTATGTGAGAGGGTTTTTCTCAAAGTGCCTGTTTCATGTGTCTGAAAACAAGTGTCCAATGGACCCAGAACTCTATGACAGCTCAAAGTCTGAGCGATCTTTAGAAGTACACCCCTGTTAGGTGTGAGGCAGAAAGGAAAAGATGAAAAGCTAACAAAATTAGCTCCCTTTGGGTATCAAGTTATCGTCCTTCTTTTGCTTTCTAAAGAACAAACTTTAAGAGAAAAAATAATCTGTAATTCTGAGCTTTCTAAGAAAAGTTAGGAAAAGCAAAGCATCTCTTAGTTTGGACATCAAGTACACAAGGACTTTGTCCTCTCTTTTGGACATTCATATAGCATTCACAAGCTGCCCCAGTAGAGGATACAGTCCCCCAGGCTGACAGATGCTCTTGTGATACTGGGAGAAGCAACCACACTGAAAGTATCAGTATCTCTGGAGGAATCTCTGAACATGTTTCTTCAGTAACTTATATAAACATGGAAGCCTAAAAGAGCAAAACTGAAATAGAGGCAAATTTGAAAATTCTCTTTAGCAGACAGGCAGAATAGGAATGTTTCCTCTACGTCTTACACATAAGTGGAACCAGGAGGGAAGCAAGTCATTTCAATGCATGACAGATACAATAAAGGACTGTCAGAGAAAGAGAAATGACCTTTTAGAGATTGGCGTTTTCTAATGGACAGATTTGTGTGAACAACAACAAACCCAAACCCTTCATTACTGTTATTTTAAAAGATTTTGGGTGAGCACTTCCCTGACAACCAGATTCCCTCTTCGGCATTTTTATTTTGCCTATGCTATCACCTCGGGATACTTGTGTTTCTAGTGTTCCTCCATCTTTAGATCATCTGACATTCTCTTTTCTCTTTCTGAGGAAAAATAGTGTTTCCAAAACTCCAGCCAAGATGAAGCTTCTGGCAAGTTGGCAAACTATACAAATGAAAGACATCAGCTTAGCAGTTACAATTCATAGAGCCTCACTGGTCGAAAGGACCACAATTTCTGCAAAGATAATTCATCAAGAAATACAAGCACATTCTTGGTCTAGATTTGCAGCGAGGCTACCTGGAGATGCTCCTGGCATTTTAATTTTGTGTTTAAAGTAGGGAAGAGTTTGAAAGAACTTTCTTAGTGGAATGGGTTCAATGTCTAGTAGAACAAAAGGATGAAATATAATTTTTAGAGCAGTGAAAATACTCATAGATAAAAGGGCAAATACCAGCAGAAATTCAGCAAATATCTTCTGGCTTTAGTCTCAGTAAGGCTATCTCTTGGTTTTCATTTAGATAAATTTAACAAGGATTGTTGTTATTTTTCTTAAATGTATGAAGTAAGCTGGTACAATAACATAAAGACTGGTACTAAGACAGTGAGATTACAGATTTTTGTGACCCAAATCAAAGACTGACATTGAAAAAAAAAAAAATTCACAGCTTATCTGACATGCTTCTTCTTATTCAAAATTCAAGACAATTGCTGAACTTTGTATTTTAAATTCCACTATCTCATGGATTCTAGTGTTTGTTATTTTGGGAACATCTTTTATGTGTATTGTCACAGCATTTATCAACCAGCTACAATGGCCAGCTTGGAGCTTGGACTACTAAAGCAGGAAAAAAAAAAAAAAAAACGAAGCTGGTGAGAACAGAAGCCCCAGTTGGGAAACGTATCAAAACCATAAACACACCAATAAACACACATTGCAGAGAATTACAACTTCAGGAACATTTTTTGCTCCATACGGCTTTAAAAAAATAGCAGGGCTCAAAGAATATACTTTTCAGAGTGATACAAATGTCTTGAGGCTGTTAAAGAATGGTAAAAGTATCATTTCTTTGTTGTTTTTCTGTCTACATTTTTGTGCTCACCTGTGGTATCACTCCAAAAGCTTTCCTCCATTCTTTTAAGGTTACTGAATTCCAAGAGATGCCATCAATTCGTATATCTCCTTTAGTGTTCAACAGGCACAAAAATGCTGACAGCAAAGTACTCTTTCCTGATCCAGTTCTTCCTAAGAGGCCCACCTAGAGCATAAAAGCAATGAAATTACCCTCAAAACATACAGATATTATACTGCAAATGTTGATTAGTACTGTACTTCAATAAAAAAAATGGAATCTGTTTTTTGTCACCAGGGGAAAATTTTTCCTTATTCATTCAAACCTTTCACACATTTGCAATTACTGATACAAGGAAGAATAACTTGGAAAAAATCAGAAACTGCCCATGAGAAACTGAATATCTAATGCTGGATGCACTTACCACTGACCTTCACTAATGACAAAAAGGTTGAAAAGGCCCATTTGCAATAAGGAAAAAGATAAAATGTCTCAATACACATCAGCTCTAAGGATGGACTCAAACCAGATGCAGGGGCCTAAAGTCTGATCCATTTTCAAGCATGGATACAAACTTGATAATTCACCTAAAATAGGCCTAACATTTAGTTACTGCCCCAGATTGGGGATATAGCTCAGTGGTGGTGAAATTGTCTAGCATGCATAGGAAAGTCCTGGGTTTGATCCCTAGCACTGCGGCGGGGGGGGGGGGGGGGGGGGCAGAGTTTACCACTAAGAAATGAAGCAAGTGACAAGGTCATAAACATGGCAAGAAAGTAAGAATACATTAGGGAGGCGTATATTCCTATAGAATGCAGGTTGATCCCAGGTTTCACCATTCTTAAGCAGCTAAGCTCAATGGTAGTGTTCGAATTCTAACATCTGATCTTATTGGCAAAAAGGGCATTTCAAGAAGCAAAAATGATATTAAGGAAAAGAAAAACTTTATTGTTATCTAAAGACCAAGACTCTAAAAGCAGAGTGTAGGGATGAAGCTGCCCCTTACTGCATGGGGAAATCAGTGTTCCAGGTGGGCTCTAGACATCAACTCTGTGTTCTGACATTTACTCACATCCCAATTCTTGAGAAAGGTGCTATGGGTGCAGTGGAATACTCCTGCAATCATTAACTGATCACAGAGTAAACTGCTTGACATCTACAGCACTGCAGAAGTGTTTCATCCTGTTTACATCATCCCTTTTATTTTTTAAACTGCATTTAGCCTCTTTGGAGAACAAATGGTCTTCTAGAAAAGTATTTTTCATATGTATGTGAAGGACTGGTCTTATTTTAAAAATTTTAATCCACTGCAAGTAACTACTTTAAATATACAGTAAAAATGAATTTCTAAATATTTGAAAATGCTATACCTATTTTATCATAGACTAGTATTAGATTGGGGACCCAAACCACTGTATGGACCACAATAAATATTTTACACTTTATGTACCATTAAAATAACAATAACAGTAATTTACTGGATGCTTATTAGGAACTTGGTAATAATCTAGGTCTTTGAGATAGGCTGGTAAAGAAGAGTGGAAATAATAATCATCTTTCTAGCAATCCTTAAGCCTCACAAGGTAATCATTATAAACCTTCATTTTCTGAGAAAACTTGATCAAGAAAAGGTTATGCAGAAGAAGTTAGTAGTTATTTTGTTTTCTCTATTTCTTGTGTTTACCCAAAAAATAAAATTCATGGTGAGTTTACACAAAATGCTCAATCAATACTTACTTGGATTGGCTAAATGACAGTCAGATTGGAGGATGGAAAGATAGGAAGATAGATGAATGGAAAGATGGATGGATAGATGAACAACTGGTTTAAACAAGGTGCTCAATAAGTACTTATTTGGATTGATTGAGAAATAGATAGATGAGCAAGTGAATGAACATATGTATTTAACTGAACTTACAAATAATAATTTTAGCTAATTTTGGTCAAATACTAGATCTACTCTTAATTTTTAAATCTTATGGAGTTATATATGCACATTTCCATTTGTGCATTAGCCCATGTTACACACATACATATTCACCATATATCATAATTTTTAAAACATCACAGTTTAAATAAACAATAATAAATAAAGCTTTAAAGAAACAATAAAAATGTATCAGTACAGGTGAGGTACAGGAGAAGAGAAATAAGTGAAATACAAGAGATGAAAGTTATTCTCCCTAACTTTATATCAAGAATATTTGGTAAAAACTGCCCTGAAGTCTTACACTGGGCATGGTGGTACATGCCTTTAATTCTAGCCCTTGGGAGCCAAAGGCAGGCAGATCTCTGTGAGTTCAAGGCCAGCCTGGTCCACATAGTGACTTTCAGGCATGCTGGGACTAAAGAGACTCTGTCAAAAACAAAAATTTTAAAAAGTGCCCCAAAATCTAAATTCCTGTGTTAGTAGTCAGGGTTTTAAAAGTGGGATAAATAACTACATTGCATTTCTCCAGAAGGAAATACTGAAATTTTTAGAAAATTTGGTTCTTACATTAGGATAACACTGAATTAAGAGTCAATTATTAAATATTTTCTTTAGCTTTAAAGCCTTAGCAACTGCTCTGGTTTCCTCATATCAAACTGCTAGCAATGCATTATGTTTCACAAATGTTTCAACAGCAAGGAATCTGGTTTATACCCTAACAAAATTGTCTTGTTGAGATAATTGACATATCATAACTATATTCTGGCATTTGTAAAGAGTACTTCCTGTGATTAAGCTTTTAAACATATCCAGAGTTTAAGTCTATTTTTCTAGAAACTTCAATGCACCTCATCTCTGCAAATTTTGGATCAAGAGAAATCAAACTATTATGTGGAGAATTAAGAAGCACTGAGTTTGGTGCTAGCTGTAACTGAATTGGATTGTGAATAGAGCAGCAGCAATGCATTCCACATAGAGTGTTCCTTGTCATTTTGGCACCACCACTGATGGAGAGCCACTGTAACTGTATTTCATCTCTTTGTGGTCTCCAGCAAGTCAAATGAAACGTAGATTCACCAGGTGATTACAAAGGAGCCTATATGCTTGATCTTCTGTTTATTATTAATAAGACCTATGAGATACTCAAATTATTAAAAATTCAGCTACCTCACAGCAAATTTTATCAAGACAGAGTGGAGTGAGTGAGTGAGTGTGTGTGTGTGTGTGTGTGTGTGTGTGTGTGTTTAACAATTCAAACAAGATTTTAAATGCATTTCTTGATGTGATGAGAACTCTGATGTTCTTAAGAATCATTTCTGGCTGTGCAGTACTTTAAATAGACAGTGAATGGAGAAAACAACTAAAAATCACCAAAAGAATAGATCCTGAATGATAATGAAATATAAAATTACAAGACTGTCCATTACTGTAAGCAATGTGCTATCTGAAGAATTTAATATATACAAATTTATCATGATGGACTTAACTTAAAATTAAAGCCCTGGCTACATTTTAAGGGAGTAAAAGAGGAGAGGGTGGAGACACTCTGTCTTGGAAGAGAGGGAAGATGAAGGGGGGGGACAGGAGTGACTGCGATCGCAATTGAGAGTCTAGTTCAGGAAAGTGATCTGGCTGTTAAAATTTATACAGAAAATCAAATGCTTTTTAAGGAAATGTTTTTAAGGTTCAAAAGGAAAATAGATTTTTGTGCTTGTGTTGCTGAGCATTGAACCCAGGGCTTCAGTGTTCAAGGCGAGCAGGCTACCACCTGAACTGTACATCCAGCCCCAGAATAGGTTTTTAAGAAAAAAAAATGTGAAATGGTTGTTATGCTCCTCAAGCATTAAAACAAAAGTTTTGAAGAATAGGTTCAGTGAAATATTTGAGTAAAAGCAAATAAAATAGGATATTTCCCCTAAAGCAATTTAGGATAAAACAGGAACCAGAATTAGACTCAGATTTAGAAAACACTGGGATTTATAGACTGGGGATATGAAACAGCTATGATTAATGTCATACGACTTTAATGGAAAAAGCAGTCAGCATACAAATAAATGGATAAAATAAACAGAAAATGGAAATTCTAAGACAGAATGAAAAGAATTTCAGAGATACAGTAACAAAAATACTTTAACAAAATGAAGGATGCCTTTGATGAGCAATTAGTAGATCAGATTTGTCTTGGAAAAGAAACCCTGAGCTTGAGGATGTGCCAATAAAAACTACCAACAGTGAAAACGCCTGGGGGTGGGGGAGAGAAGAAAACATCCAAGAACCAGGACACAGTTACAAAATGTGTGCTTGAATGTAATGAAATACCACAAAGAGAAGGAAGGAAAGAGGCAGAAAAAAAGGAAGAAGGACGGAAGGAGGAAGGAAGAAAGAAGTAGAGAAAAAGGCAGGAAGGGAGGAAATATTTCAAACAGTAATAACTGAGAATTTCCCCCAATTAGTGTCATATACCACAACACATATACAGAGAAAACCTAGCAGAATAGTGCTTCCAGCAAAAATCTATACCATAGAATATCATACTTAAACTACAAAAAAGGAAAGAAAAATCTACTGAAGGAAGCTCCGAAGGAAAAAAATATATATACAAAAAATTAAGAACTGGGACCTTCTCAGAAGTTCCAACGTCTTGGAAGCCATGAAAGCAAGAAAGGAGTGAAGTGAAAGAAGAGAGACGAAATGCCACCAAACTAGAGTTAAGTGCTTGTACCTTGTGAAATTGTCTTTCAAAAGTGAAGGTAAAATAAGAAATTATCGAACATAAATAGAGGCAGTGTGTTTAGACGTATCTTGAAAGATATGTTAAGAGAAATTCTTCAGAGAGAAAGAAAACAGAAATTCAGCTCTACAATGGATTAGAAATTTGTATCTAAATTGCTCACAGCACACAGGGGGCAGAAGCAGGCTGATCTCAGTGATCAGAGATCAAAGCCAGCCTCTACTACATAGCAAGTTCCAGGCCACCTGGGGCTACAGGAAGACCCTGTCTCAAGAAATCCAAAATCAAACCAAAGCAAAACAAAAATTTGACTTGACCTTCATATAAAAAAGAAGAGTAGGAACTAATTGATAGCTGCTGGGAGAGGGAGTCAGTTTCCAAGACTGTGATGCCTGGTAATTTGATCCGACTCCAAGGAAAGGACTCACACCCAAGAGCATTTTGGGAACACAAACTAGACTTGATAGACCTTAAAAATATAAGAAAGAACATGAAGTTAGGGGGATAGTAGGGTGGGGATAGAGTGAGTGAAGGGGTTTGAATATGGTCAAAATACATGACATAAAATTCTTAATCAAAAGTATTTTTTAAAAGAGTAACAGAATAGAGTGAAGACAACATGAAAACTAACTTTTCTAATCTTTTAAAATTTTATTTATTTATTTTATTATTTATTTTTATTTTATATGTATGAGTGTTTTGCCTTCATGGATGCAAATATACAAAGTACATGCAATGCCCACAGGGGTAGAACAGGGTGTTGGATTGTCTGAAACTGGAGTTACAAATGGTTGTTAGCTACCATGCAGGTGCTGGGAAATAAACCCGAGTCTTCTGAAAGAGCAACCAGTGTTCTTAACTGCCAAGTGCTCTCAGAGCCCCACTTTTTGTATTCTTAATTGGCCTAACAGAAAAGTTTGCTTAAAAATAACTTTTAGCAACATGTATTTGCTTATATATGATATATAAATACATTTAAAAAATCATAGGAATAATAGAAAACACAGGATGGTAAAACTGGGACCATTTGCTACTATAAGGTACTGGTACTACATATATAAATATATATATATATTCACCACACACATATGCATACACTATATATATATATATATATATATATTTAACTTAAAGAACAAGAAATTGAGAAGGAGTCAGGGGACATGGGAGGAGTTCAAAGGGAACTGGGAGGGATGGAAATAATGCAAAGATAGTATTTATGTATGAAATTCTCAAAAATAAAAATGTAATTTTAAAAATCTATTTAGAGTTAAATTCTCATATAAATTAATAGTGTGTAAAGTTACAACACATGAAGGCAAACCATTTCCCAAGGGTTTCCACCATAACTATCAAGCTACTTGTTGCTACTGTTTTTACCGGAGTGTATTTTAGCATATGTTATATTTAATGGCTTCTGTGGTTGGTAAATCTTTACATATTTTGAAAGAACAGTCATATTTTTAAAAAATTTACTGTAAAGATTCCAGATCCTGAAAATTACCTTTCATATCAAACATAAGGACTTCCTACTGTAACACCTTGAGCTATGTATGTGCAATACTGATCCTGCTCTGTAAGTATGCTGCAAATCGGTTTTACTACCATACTGCATTTCTACTAGGACTCACTGGGCATAGGTCTAACAGAGCAGGTAATGTTGAAATCTCACCCTCTGACCAGGATTTATAGAGAAAGAGACGTTCTCTAAAACAGCATTCCCACTATCGCCATATCTCACGATGAGGTCTTTAACAACCATTTCGCCCCCTGAAGGCCAGTTATTTTTCTTCACACAATGATTCTCCCAAATTTCAACTTCAAATGAGTCTTCATTCCCCAGTTCTTTCATTGCCGTGGTACCCTCACATCCTTCTTTTGGAATGTCAATAAACTTAAAGACTCTGCTCACAGATCGCATCTGAAATGAAAATAACAGTATTTTATTTTTGTTTGAGAACTGCAGACAGTAACATAATTAGTTTAACATTTCCTAAAAAATACCTTGTAAGTTGTAATGTAAGCTACCTGTCATTTGGTTATTTGTGAGATTTTTAAATGAACTAACAGGAAGCAATCAGATATAATTAAAAGCTTAACCAGAGAATCAACTAAGACATAAATGGGCTCTGTAGAAACCTGTCTGTTTTTTTGAAGACTTAATTCTCAGTTACACAATCCATATATAAATAACCAAAGTGTTCTCAAGGTTATAGATGATGTCAAAGAGAAATATTTTGCCTCCTATAAGTGGTACTGCACAACACTATATAATCAGCATGTTATAATAAATTGTACCATACTTCAACAACATTGCTGAAAGTGCTGTCCTTCTCTCTAATTTCTTTAACAAATACCTACAGTTCTACAAGTCATCTGGTTGGTGAGTAGACTCTTGATGCTTAGTCAATTTTAAATAACTCTACAATGTTCAAATTTAAGGCACTGCATAGATATGAAATTAAAATTAAAACTTTGTACTTTTACATTACTTAAATGTCAATTTCCATTCCTTGGTGGAATGTGACTGAATACAAAGGTAATATTTGAAACTAAATATGAATGTGTCATAATATGCATGTATGGCTTTTTCTTCCAGATATAATGTGATGATCTCATCATCATCTTGGAGTAGAGATAGCCTTGGTCTGGTAGTCACAGCAGCAAAATAAGCAGAATAATACATTGACAGCTATGTTTGTGGTGATGGTAATGGAGCTTTTGACAACTCTTAGTAGGAAGGAGGTAAGTGTCATGAACCATCACCTGGGATTCTGGTAGTCATTACTCTCTTTGGTCGTCCTCCCCCTACAGCCAAGCTGTAAGTGATCTTGGGAGATCCTAGAGTACACAGGAAGAGTGGACCTGCAAGGTTAACTGAAGCTGGACCCATGGGCAGCTTCCATGAGGCTGTCATCCAGGAAAGGGGTACCAATTTGTGGTGATGCAAGTGTTTTGGGTTCACTCACAATCTGTAAGTAACTCATCACCCACATTCCTATAATTGAGGCCAATAAATTCATTGATTCACCAAGCTGGACATTGATGAAATCCTTACTTTGTCATCAGGGGTGAAAAGATGCTTGTTCATATTTTCTTAGGAAAAGGTAATATAATGACCTGATTTATAAATCTCTTGATATAATCTTTAATAAAGTATTTAATATGCACAGAAACAAAGGAGTTCAGCTCTTTTTAAAGGGTGGTTAAGTCAAATTGTTAACCAAAATACCTTTCTAAGTAATTATGATTAATTAGAATTTAGAATACTTTAAAATAGACTAGCATGTCATAGGAGCCTGGTATATGTTTTAAAAATTAATAAATGAGTGGATGAATATGTGAATGAGTAATTATATAGAATAAACCATTTTTATCCTGCTATTCAGCTCCTCTTTGCCAGATGATAACAACTTATAAGACAAAGTTTTACTTTAAAAAATCTTAATAGTAATTGCTGATTTTTACTTCATTTGGCCAAGAACTTAACTAATCTTACGATACTAGTTCTTGTCATCTCATTTGTTGCTAAGAGTTATAATTTAGAAAAATTGTTTTTATTAAAAAGATAGAAATTCATTTAGAGTATTTGCTTCTATTATTCCTGTGTGTCATTATCAAGTGTTAAAATTGAGAAATTGTATGGAATAAAGCAGGTTTATATGATAAAGTTCATCTGAACAATTCTAGGTTCAATGTCTATTTTCACATGCTACTACTTAATGCTGTTCATTAAGTTCTTTCTTCTCTTCTGTACATCAGTTTTCTTCATCATGAAAGTCTCTTCAAATAACCTCCAATAATCAATTCAAGTTCAAGAAGATAATCCTTTTAGGTTAAAACTGTTGTTAATGAGAATGAGGAGGGTCAAAACACCACACCCATCGAAAATAACTCCAAATGGAATGAAATGGATTGTTTCCTATGCAGTATTTTAAATTCTGGATTACGAGTGAACTTCAGAGCTTGTTAAACCCAATTCAGTAATTCTTGATCATGGTGTCTCCCCTGCCAAGTATGTATTCAGTAATTCTTGATTCCTTGTCTAAATTAAATAATTATTTTTGTTTTACTGTCATTAACCTTCAATGAGAGATGGTAATCTATATAAGGTCTAGAAGATAAATTAGAACCAATTAACCTGGACATCTAACTGTCAGAGTAGTTGCTCTAATGCATCTTAACCATCCCATTGTATTTATCCTGCATAAAACAGCACCTCTGTTGGGGGATAGAGATGGCCCAGCCATTAAGATCACTTGCTCCTCTTGCAGAGGACCTGGGTTCAGTTCCCAGCACACTCCAGGCACAAGGCAAACACATGGTGTACCTACACACATGCAGGCTAACACTCCTACACATAAAATAAAACTACATCTTAATAAAAAGGAATAGTATCTCTCAAAGTGATTTAAGGAAATATAGTGGGCCAATGATATGGTTCAGCCAGTAAATGCACTTGACATCTAGCCCAGTGACCTGATTTCAATCCCAGGATCCACATGGTGAAAGGAAAGAACTGACTCTTGCAAGCTACTCTCTGACCTACACACAAACACACACACACACACACACACACACACACACAAACACACACACTATATGTTTGTGCGCACTCCTACATACACATGAAAACCCACCCCACACATAGATTAAATTTTAAGTAATTTTAAAGAACTAAAGAAATATAAAAAGTATGTTAAATTTATAAAACAGGGACTGCTATTTCTTTACATAAATTCTGTTAAGAATTTAAACCAATATTTATCAGGTGCTTTAATATATCATGAAAGATGCACTATAACAAAATCCTTAACTTTCCCAATCACTAAAATATTTAAATATTTCTACCTAAGGTATTCAAAATTACAAAAAATAAGGAATATCAAAATTATTTTGGTAGCACTGAAAATTAATACACATCTTTTTCTGTCAAAGCAGTATAAGTTATATTCTTCATCAGTGACAATCACCAATGAGGGGGAATTCAGAACTTCTAAAATCAAATGTGCAAAATAGAACATAGCTATCAAATTTAGAAACTTTGTAACCTATGTCTTACAGTCTATAATTGCTTACAGTGTCCCCCCAAACTGACTATTAGAGCCATTCCCAGCCTGGATAAATATTCCTGGACCAAGAACATACTATTTCTTAACAATGAGCACTCATCCATAGCACATGAGCAGGCAGACTTTCATTCCATTCAATGACTCAAGACATGAGTGCAGAGGCTTGCATCACAGCCAGCTTTGCAGCCACTGAAACACCATTACAGAATAGTTATTAACCAATTCCTTGAACCACAGGGGCTGTTATCCAGTTCATTGCCTCTGGAAGGAGAAGTCACATAAGAACCAAAAACATGAAGTAAATTCTGTTCCTCAGGTTCCAAAAACTGACTTTTCAAAGTCAAAACATAATGACACCAGCATTTTTCAGTCATATGAACATTGGCTTTTAAGCTTCAAAGACCAAGGCCCAAGTCAGGCTTATAACTAGTCATACCTCCAGGGAAACTTAGCTAAGGAGGATCATTTGAGGTCAGGTGTCATCCTGGACAACACAGCATGACTCCTCCATCTCTTAATTTTTTGTCATTTATTATTTTTATTTTATGTGTATGAGTATGGCCTGCATGTATGTGAGTGTACCCATGACATGCAATGCCTGTGGAGGTCAGAAGAAGGCATCAGATCCCCTGGAACTGGAGTTATGAACAGTTGTTAGCTGCCATGCGGGTGCTAGGAACCAAACCCTGGTCCTCTGCAAGAGCATCCAATGCTCTTAACCACTGAGCCATCTCTCCAGCCTCCATGACTCCATCTCTTAAAAATGTTAAAAGTCCCTAGCCTGAAACACTAAAGACATAGTGTTTTTACAAAACATGGTGGCCCTAAATCAACTTAGCATAGCTGACTCTCCTCTTACCACAATTTGAGTCAAAAAAGGAGTCATGTCTTACAATCGAACTTCAGTTTTAGTCTAAGACAATCTAGTAACTTCACAACCCAGGAAGATTGTGCCTCATTTCCAATGTGAAATCCAGAGAAAAAGCATAGAGAAGCCATAGAGAAGCTTCTAGTGCCGCCCATGTAAAAGCACAGATCGTCTGATACAGTCAGATTCCCCAGTATTTCTAGAGTTATGCTCAGGAGAAGCCAAATTTGATCTTTTGATGTATCAAGAAAGAAATTAAGAAAATGTTCAAAAAAAGCAAAGTCAAAGTTAGAACAAGGATAAAGGCTCCTGGTCAGCTGTTCTAGATAAGATGGGAACATTTATGAATCAGCAACAGAGCGTCTGAAAAGGGAATGTGTAGAATCTTATTCTTTCCCAAAAAGAATTGGCACTCTGTAAACTCTGCTCTGAATCTGACTATATCTCTGAATTTCCCAAAATTCTTCTTCCACTCAGTGAAATGTATGTTCAAATAGTAAATTAACCACAGCAAAGTTGAAGTCATTTTCATTCATACTTGATTTCACTATCAAAGATTCATACACTCTATAAAAAATGAATCTCAGGTTTGTGAACATCAAAGGTCAAATAATTTGGTAGATTCTGCTGAAGAAATAGAAACAAAATTATACATTTAAAATTAAATGCGAGCTGTTATTGTCAGACATAAATTAAGGAGCCTATCCCTCCTGGAAACAGGACTTCCAGGTAGGTAAGACCTAAATGGAGAAGGTTGTAGGCAGCTTTGCTGTGCTAGACATCTAAACTTTCTCACTAAGAGATAATTGACTCTATGTCTCTCTTGATTCTCCCCTCTCAATAACCCTGACAGTTCTGAATTGGATTTTAAATGTCCTACCAAGGTAATATGTTAAAGGCTTGTTCCCACATTGATGGAACTTTTGAAAAGTGGTGGAGACTTTGCAAGTTGCAGCATAATTGGAGGAAACAGATCCCTGG